TATTGCTGCCTGCGGACACGCCTATTGCGTGGGATGTGCTGTCGTTCAACCGGAAGAACACGGTCAACTCCGTGTTATGTGCAACGAGTGCAAACGAAGAGTGATTGCAGACCTCATTGAGATGAAGGACCAATTAGTCGTGCGCGATCAACCTTTTGCATTGTGCCCCGGTCGGGTCCTTGTGATGCCTGCAACATGTTTTCTCCACGAGTGAAATATAAATGAAGTATAAATATAGACCACATCGTGAACTATTTCAGATGTTTGTGCGAGACTTACCAGGTTCTCTTACTGGTCGGATAGAGTTGACACCACTAGGCAATTTGGGACGCTATGTAAAGCTGTGTAACTGCTGCAAAATGTTTTCACCAACTCTAACGAGTGCAAGCACGTTATATGTACTGGATGTACAATTGCCGATCCTAATGCAGAGAAAGATAAAAAAGAGTCAAAAAAATCGACCCAAGTCTTCTGTATTAGGTGCAAGCAGCGAATTAGCGCCGATTTCTTTGAGGTCGATCCGGATGTCCTGAACGAAATACTTTTTTCATGCCCCTGTGGCTTAAATGGCCCGCTTCGGGATATTAAGAAGCACTTATGGAACACCGCCAAGGACCACCCCGTGACCAACGTGAATGCTCAATTTGGCAAAGCATACGATTTGCTATCCAATGAAGTGGCTAAGCTAAAAATTGACTTGTCTCGAGTAATGGGTGTCCCAACTAAAAAATATTTTTGATTGACATAAAACAGTTGATTCAGGACCATGCATCGTCCACGAAAGGTATCGCCAGCAGTGAGCCCATACCATGGGAAGTAAGTGGCTACACTTGCGAATTCTTTTGCCAGATAAAAGCTGCAGGATCTGATCGCTATATCGGGGTATTCTTCAGAACATCAGAAAAACAAAGTCCGCACGTCTCGAGCACCCTGGCCTATGAAGCTGTATTTTTAACGATGTATTTTTAACCTCTATGATATAACCGGAAAGCCGATAAAGACAGGTATGATTGATACGTTCAAGACTGGTCAACGGATTGATGCCGATTTAATGGTTCCGTCTACGAAAAAAATTTCCGGACGAGGTTTGGAAAAATTTTTCAAGGTTCTCACCTTACTTGACAAAATGGACGAGATATTAGTTGCGGGACGAGCGTGCTTTTCCGCAGAGCTCAAAAGAGTTATAAGAGGATTTCAGTATTCAAGTCAGTAATACGCCTCTGACAGATGGTCGACAATAAATTTGTTCTCAGTTTGCTACTATTGCATTTATTAGTTGTCATAGTTGAATATCATTCAAGATTAGGATTGAACTATATATTGTTAATACCGCAACCGAAGTAAAACACTAAAACAATGTTTTAAAATGTAAAAAATGACGATCGAATTGCAGAATGCGATTGATAACGGTGATTTTTTTAGTGTTTAGCACGATTAAACGAAGATAGGGATCTTCACTGTGTGAGGCTAGCTCCGTCAGTAATGCTCTTCTCTTGTTACGAAACATATGGTATTCTTATGTATTTTTTAAGATGTCAACATTTGGGATAGGCCCAGTTCGGTCCCATGCACTATTGCGACAGGGCAAAAAACCATTCGGTTCGCATCGCAAAGCGATTAGCTGGATAGATCAGTAAGGCATTTATTTGCACCTTTCAAATCCATACAATGGTGACAACTGACTTCAGCTTCCTGTATGCTGTAAGGTGAAATTGTGACAAAGCAAAAAGCAACCTAACTTTCCAGAACTTTCGAGTTTCTTCACGGGCGCATGGTGTATGGCCTATGTCTCGGGTATGAAATCGTAAACGACAATAGGTCTTCAGACTGCACTCAACAGTTTCTCAGCGACATGGTGATCTTCATCGTGATTTTCTTGCGTGGAGCACATTACGAATTCCCGTAACCATTGAGCCTACTACAGTTAACAAGAGTTTATTCGCTTTGGCCTAACAACGGTTTTTGGAACTGTTTACCCAGCAAATGTATACTTGTGAAGGATGTTTCTTTTTAAATAATGTAAATGCACGATCGTCGTTAGATTGAAAGTATTGTTGGAGATGCACGCCAGTGCCGTCGATGTTTTTGTACGTTAATGTAGTGAAGCTTCTTTACTGTGGTGGATATTCTAAATCATTTCCTATATATTTTGAAACGATAACAGAACAATGATCATTTCTAATAATTTGTTAACAAATTTGTAGGAATAGAAGCGTTAGAGTCAAAACAATTCATACGTTCAAGATATATTCACAAAGGCTTTCGAGAGATGCGTGCCGCCGTGTGTTGTCTGCATTCATGATTAAACACTGTATGAAAGCCTGGCAAAACACAGGGTTTTTCTCTCCCTTTGTGTGTATTGCTTTTAACAAAAATCACCTACTGTGATTACTTCCGAGTTACCATTGGTTACTTATACCTTATACTTATACACGTACCCTTGTTAATTTATTTGAAACTACATATTACGTGTTGTGGCTCTTCTTTAACCACACTTATAAAAACCTGGCCATCCACACACCGCAAATGCTGGCCAACATCTGTTTTGAAATTTTTGTTTTGAAAAGTCATAAAATAAACCTTTCTTGTTAGTCAACTTGTTAGCGAGTCAATTAAGATACCTATTTCAGCTTGGGAATGATTGGCGACATTTAACAGTTAACTTGTTGTCATTATTATAATTATGTAGGACATATTGTCGCCATCGGTGTCAACAAACATGACACTCCTGCCTGATCGTAGCGTTCGTTTGTTCCAGTTGCAGGCCAGCAAGCACCTGCCTGGCGCCGCTATGCCTGCCTCAACCGAAAAAAGCCACCCAAAAGTGGGCAGCGTCGGCCGCCGACAAACACCATGCGATGCATGTAATATGTTTTGTCCACGTGTCTATATATTGCTGCCTGCGGACACGCCTATTGCGTGGGATGTGCTGTCGTTCAACAGGAAGAACACAGTGTCGGCCGCCGACTAACACCATGCGATGCATGTAATGTTTTGTCCACGTGTCTATATATTGCTGCCTGCGGACACGCCTATTGCGTGGGATGTGCTGTCGTTCAACAGGAAGAACACGGTCAACTCCGTGTTATGTGCAACAAGTGCAAACGGAGAGTGATTGCAAACCTCATTGAGATGAAGGACCAATTGGTCGTGCGCGATCTACCTTTTGCATTGTGCCCCGGTCGGGTCCTCGTGATGTCTGTAACATGTTTTCTCCACGAGTGTATCTCTGCGCATGCGGGCATGCCTTCTGTACTGGATGCGCAATTGTTCACAAAGAGGAAGAAGGTGCAGGGTTGAAGGCGTTCTGTCTCGAATGCAAAAAAAAAGTCACTACTGATCTTATCGAGATAAAGCTAAGTTTGCTTCGACAGATGCGTTTCGTGTGTTCCCGCGGAAGGGAGGGGACGCTCGAGCAAATAAAGGAGCATCTGTGGGAGTCTGCAGAGTCTCACAATGTGACTGACGTAGCCTCAAAGGATCAATAGATGGTCCGTTTGGAGCGGAGAGCTTACTTCACAGTTTACGCGATGAGGTGCTAAGTCTGAAATTGCAACTACGCACTCTGGTTGGCGTAGCAACCAAGAAATACTTCTGGGTCGATTTGCAGAAGATCATAGACGAACACGAGAAGTAGAGACAGAAGACCATCACGAGTAACGTTGAGCCCTGGGAGGTGTGCGGATACGCCTGCGGATTCTTCTGTCAAATCAGCGAACATGACAATGAGTGTTATGTCGACGTGTCCGTCAGGACCATGTCTAATAACACTTCGCTCTCACCGTGGCCGATGAAGAAGAGGTGCATTTTTGCACTATATGATATCAGCGGCCGCGAAGTGAAAACTCATCTGTCACTCTTCTTCCAGAACGGCAACCCGATGAACTCATGCTTTATTGGCCCGGCGTATGAAGTTGTTGCTGGTTTCGGTCCGACTAAGTTTGTTCGAGTGGCCGATATTCGCGACAGGTCGGATGAATTACTCTTTGAAGGACGAGCCTGCTTTTCGGCAGAACTTCCAAGAACCGTAAGAATATTGCTACATGGAAACTAAAACGATTATCGGTGTGTTTTGGTGTATCAGGTGCAGGCAAATGATAATCAAATAAAATTTGCGTTTCGCCAACATCGTTGAAAATTTGAGAATATTATCAAG